TTATTAGTAACAGAGTTATGAATTTTTGAAAAATAAAGTAGTCTAATTTTTAATTGTTTATATCTCGATTAATTTTGCAATAAGAAAAAAATCCTTTGGCACAAAATTCTATCTCCCAAAGTACTACCTTTGTGCAAAATTAAAAAAATTTCTGAGAGATGACTAATCCGCTTCACGTGGAATGGCCCAAAATTATTTAAAGACATAATAATCTATAAAATGTTATATATTGCAAATTAAATATCCGAATTCGTAGCATAACAATAACATATACTAAATAATAAAAATATATAATATATAACATAATATGGAATATATACAATATATACAATATAAATATATACAATAATGGAAAGAATAAATCCTTCGTATCGAAGTATCATTAGCTCAGCGTTAGCGTATTAGTTTGATGTTCTAGGGATCTCAGGTTCGAATCTCGATGTGTTTTCAAAAATTGTAAACCTGCGTATAAATTGTAATTAATAAAATAGAAATAATGACGAAATAGTTAAACACAAATTAAACTACTAAAAATAATAATATGTAATCGTAAAATTTAAAAAAAATTTTTGTTAAAATCTTTTTTCTCAGTGTATCTATGTATGTGTTAATACATCTAAAAAAGGTTCAAATTTGAATGAAAAAATCTTAGAAATTTCCTATAAAAGTTATAAATTTATATAGAAATTCTAAAATATTATATAAAAAATTCTGAAAAAATTCTGAGAAATGTTCCAATTCGTGTAAAAAATCTGAAAAATTTTCTAAAAAAGTTATAAAATTTATATTGAAATTCTGAAAAATTCTGAAAAATTATATGAAAAATTCTGAAATAAATTTTCGCCAGGGCAGGATAGTGATATCCTCTGAAAACGGCTCCTGCTTGGTTCAGCACGGTGTACATGAATAATATAAAAGGAAATAAGATAATATAAACGCATTTCGCGTACAAACGACGGAACCTTTAAGAATTAATAAAACCTCTCGGGTTTGATGCCCTCTCATTGGCTACTTGAACTCGGTGTCCGCCATTTCGTGTATCGTGACGTCAGAATATGTTGCGGTACGCGAATTGACCAATGAATGCAACTCGCGATCAATAGCTTAAAGCTTTTTATTTATATTCAACAATTAGTTAATAAAACATATTCCGCGTTACGATTCAACGTAAATAATAATGTATTAAGACTTTATAATACTCTC